CTTTTTATTCATATATGTCTATGCGCATTTAATCAATTTAAAGTCAATTAATTTTTTTTTTAAACAGGACATTAGTTTGGTTCTCTTTATATTTAATTTTAGTCCCAGTTTTTACAGTGCAGTCCTTGACTCTTATTACTAAAGCTTGCAGAACCTTTGCATTTTCGGCTATCAGGGTAGCGTCATCACATAGTGTAGGTTATTGATTTTTCTTCCTCAATTTTAAAACCATGCTCCTCTTCTTCAAATCCATCTTCCATTAATATATATTCAGCATATAGGTTGAATAAATAAGGGGACAGTATACTGCCTTGTCTCACTCCTTTGCCAACCTGGAACCTGTTTCACCATGTTCTATCTGCACTGTGGCTTCCTAACCTGTATATAAGTTTCTCAGGAGGACAATGTGATGTTCTGGAATTCCCATTTTTCTGAGCACATTCTACAGCTTGACATGGTTGACACAATCAAGGGCCTTTCTATAATCAATGAAGGACATAGTGACTTCTTTTTGGTATTCTTTGGCTTTCTCAATTATCCAGTGGGCATCAGCAATAATGCCTTGTGTTTCTAGGCCTTTTCTAAAGCTACCTTGAACAACTGGCATCTCTTTTTCCATGTAGGGCTCTAATCTGCATTGGATGACCTTAAACATTATTTTGATAGCATGTGAAATTAAGGATATTGTACAATAGTTTGCAAACTCTGTTACATCTCCTTTTTTTGGTATTGGAATGTAGAATGATCTCTTCCAATCTATTGGCCACTGTGCTGTTTTCCAGATTTGCTGGCATAGTTTGGTTAGAACCTTTACTGATTCTTCTTCTGTTGCTTGCCATATTTCAGTGGGTTCATCAGTTCCACTACATCAGTTCCTGTAGCCTTCTGACTTGGTAATGACTGGAGCACTGATCTAACGTCATCTTCTACCAGAGGCTCTTGTAAGTAGGAAATATCTTCTAAGGTATCTTGGATGTTGACATCTCTACTATACAGTATTTTTTTCCAACTTTATATGAGATTTTTATCCAGTTCTACTTTCTTCATATCCCATTGTTTTTCTTAGACCCTTTCTTGTTTATAAGTCTACTGAACCACCCTTCCTTTCACCAAGATCTGTATCTATCACTGTATTAGGTTCTTGCTTTCTAGTCAGTACTTAATACATCCTTTCTTCAACTACTTTGTCACTTGACATTTTTGCCTTTGGGGATTCTTTCTCCAGCTAGCTTAACTTGTTCTTAAGTTGTGAAATTTATATACTAGTTAAACAGATAAGTTTAGGTAAGTCCTCTTTTCAGCATTTTTAAAAACTGCAAAATATCTTCTCTCTTCTCCAAATAACTGGAACATTGATATGACTTCTGTACTTTCATACTTGCACTTTCAGAGAGTGATAACTTCACTGCTACAGTGGTGCTTAAAAGTTTGTGAACCCTTTTGAATTTTCAATATTTCTGCAAAAATGTGACCTAAAATGTGATCTATTTTCCACACAAGTCTTAAAACTAGATAAAGAGAACCCAATTAATAAATGAGTCAAAAACATTACACTTGTCCATTTATTTATTGAAGAAAATGATTCAAAGCTATATATTGTGTGTGGCAAAAGTATGTGAATCTTTGCTTTCACTAACTGGTGTGCCCCCCCACGGTAGCAATAATTGCAACTAAACATTTCAGCTAACTGCTGATCAGTCTTACACATCAGCTTGGAGGAATTTTAGTCTGTTCCTCCTTACCAAATAGCTTATCTCGGGAATGGTGGTGGGCTTCCTTGTTATCAACTGCCTGCTTCAGGTCCTTCCACAACATTTTTATAGGATTAAGGTCAGGACTTTGACTTGGCCATTTTAAAATATTAACTTTCTTCTGCTTTAACCATTCTTTGGTTGTATGACATGTGTTTTGGGTTGTTGTCTTGCTACATAATCCACTTTCTCTTGAGCTTCAGTTCGCAGAGAGATACCCTGACATTTTCCCGTAGAATTTGCTGGTACAATTCAGAATGTATAATTCCATCAGTGATGGTGAGCTGTCCTGGTCCAGAGGCAGTAAAACAGGCCCAAACCATGATACTGCCACCATCATGTTTCCCAGATTGGATATGGTTATGTTGGAATGCAATGTTTGCCTTTCACCAAACATAATGCTTTTCATTCAAATCTTGGTCTCATCTATCCACAGAATATTCTTCCAATAGCCTTCTGGCTTATCCACATGGTCTTCCGCAAACTGTAGAAGGGTAGCAATGTTATTTTTGAAGAGTAGTGGCTTTCTCCTTGCAACCCTGCCATGTACACTATTGATCAGTGTTCTGATGGTGAGTAGTGGCTTTTTCCTTGTAATCCTGCCATGCACGCTATTGTAGTTCAGCCTTCTCCTGACTGTGATCTCATGAACAATGAATTGGCCAATGCAAGAGAGGCCTTTAGTTCCTTAGACGTTACCCTGGGGTTCTTTGAGATTTCCTGGAGTATTACATGCCTAGTTCTTGGTGTGATCTTGGTTGGTCAACTGCTTGTGGGGAAGGTAACAATAGTGTTGATTTGCCTCCATTTGTACACAATCTGCCTGACAGTGA